CGCGTCGCGCACCTCGCAGGACTTCATCACGCCCGAGCGGGTGGCGGCCGTCGAGGCCTGGGGCGGGCGGGCGGTGCTGGAGGCGCTGTCCGCGTTCGTGATAGACGACGGGGTGAGTCCGCATGTGACCGCGAAAAAATTGCGCACCCCACATCTGACATTGTTCGTGCCCCCAGAGCCTGCACGCGGCGGCGGGGAGTGTGTGGGAGCTGGAGGATCGGTAGCCATGTCTCCATCGCACGGCCCTCATTCCTGCTGTCACGAATGTATACACTTAGATGGCCCATCGCACTGGGTTCGTTCTCCCTCGTCCGCTGCTAAGGCACCGCCCGGCCCGCCCCGGCCGTGTTGCCCTTCTGATAGGGTGGGTCAAGCACGCCCCCTCGTCCTGTGCCCGCCCGCTCTGTGGTCTGCGCTCTTCTCCCCCCAAATAATGTCCAGACCCGACCTGGTCTCCGCCCTTGCGCGCATCGCAGGCCGTGGCGGCGTGCCGTCCGCTGCACTGTCTCCCTCGCCCCAGAGTTGGCTGACTCGGAGGGGAGAACCCCGCTGTACGACGCACCGGCTTCGCTGAGTGTCCCGCGCTGCCCCCGCATCGGGTTTACGGGATATCGGTCGATCAGCGGCCAGAGCCCCCATGCGTCCCCGTCGTTCTCCTTATGCATGCATCGCCCACATGTGATGCTGCACCCAGCCCGTCTCCCCTGCATCGGGAATTTTACGTAGGACAGACACTGGGGGGCACCCCTGAGGGACCTTGGCAGAGCGCTACGAGCGTTGAGATCGGTGGGACCGTGCGCTTTGCTCTCCCTGTGCGGGCGTTCTCATACGGGTGGTCCAATCTCGCCTCCCGCGTTCTCGATGTAAGCTGCGGCGCGGCGACACTATTCGCAGCAGCGACTCCCTAGATACACAGCAGCCGTGTTTTCTCGGGTACACTATGATTTATGTCGCTGCGACCGCACAGCCAGCCGCAGTGCTGAGCGCCGCGACGGCCACCCCCGCGGAAACGCA